CTTAACATTTTTCTCTGGACTTCAGTTTCCCAGTCTTTAAAATGGAGAAGAGGAGTTGAACTCTCCTCTCAGATTTCAATCTCAAGTACTCGAGTTAGGGATGTCTTTCTCTTTAATAAAATCCCTTTATCTAGGAATTTGCCTTCCTTAAGGGCCTTCCAGGCCCCCACAACCTTGAACATTGATTGGCTCCTTCTTCCCGCAGAGGCTCTCGCAAGTTCATGGTGCTATGTACTGATCTGAACACCAGGTGGCAGTGCAGTCCCACCTTGGAATCTCCACCTGCCTTCCTCAGCCTGGAGTGGCTCCACAATTACCAACAGCCCTCTGCGGAGGCCTTCCTGCTCCTCACCCCTTCAGGCCCTCAGCCCTGCAATTCCAGGACCTCCAAACTCCTGAGCACGGCATTCAAGACTGCCGTCAGGTTTCCCCTCCAGGTCCACAACCTTTGCCCCCAGGCAGAATGTGATGCTAGAGACAGGGAATTCCTCCATTCTGCCAGTAAAGGGGCCTGGGCCAGCAGCAGCTGGAGGTTGTGGAGCAGAGGGGAACTTCTCCTTTCAGTGAAGAATGGAGAAACCACTTCCTTTGAGAAAATGGTTGGGGCAAGGGGGGAAGATTAGGGAGCATGGGCTTCCTGGCTCAGGAGGAGAGAAAAGAGGTTCCAGGAAGCCCCCATGAAGAAGCTGAGAGCAACCTTTTCTTTCCCTTCCTTCTGGGATCTTCATGGAGCAGACAGCTGCTGGGACAGGCAGAGTCACACATGGGAAGCCATGTGCTATGAAGCCACAGAAAGGACAGGTTAGAAGACAGGCTCATCTGTATGAAGAGTGGAGCCTTAGTTATTCCAAAAAGCAAGCCCAAGCACCTAGCCCCAAGTATTCAAGTTCCAGTACCCAACTTCAGAACTCAGCCCTGAGTACTTGACCTCAAATATCCAGCCCCCAGTTCTTAGCTGCAAGTACCAGCTCCCAGAGGAGTACCCAGTGCCCATCAGAGGCTGCCAGAGGCCGAGTGAGCAAATGGCCCCACAAGAGAGCCTGTCCCAAGTCATTCTCTTGGGACATGAGAGAAACATAAGGACATGTTTATTGGACTGATTCTTCTCCTATAGCCAGCACCAAGGAAAATGCCATCCCAGACATGACGAATAATCACACAGCCCAAATTGGTGCTTTACTGTTTCTGTGCTAGTCATATACACTTGCTTGTCCACAGTGGTGCTAGCCTCCACCCACCCATATCCCCAACCATAGAAAACCAGATCTCCCAACAGGGTCAGAAGCAGGAGAGCAGGAAAAGAGGTCTCCTGAAGCCAGCCCAAGGCAGAGAGGCAGGGGCCTGGTTTGAGGCTCATCACCCCTTAACATTGCTGCATGACTCTGAATAAGTCTGTCTGGGAATCTGTCTCACCACAGTCTGGCCAGTGGATAGCCCCTGCCTGCCACTCTCCAGGGACAGGCATGAAGAGGGGTATGTCCCAGTGGTGGGTCAGGATATCAGCCAGGGGCTGTTCAGTTACAGGTCACAACAGGATGGAGTAGGTGGCTGTGGTGGTGATGCCACAGGTGTTGTTCTTTGCAGACATGAGGATGTAGACACTGGTGCTCCACAGTGGTGACCACGAACTCTTGATGAACCAGGAGGGCTTGCCTTCTAGCACCCATAAATACCAGGTGGTTCAACTGTTCCACAGCTGCAGAGGGGCAGAGTGTCTTCACTCAGCCACAATTACTCAGCCATTCTCTTGGAACCCACCAACCCAAGCCCATTCCCTCCTCAATCTTCTCTAGGCAAAGTCACCTCTAGGCATGTAGATGCCTAGGCCAGAAACCTCCCCAAAGCCTTTTCCCTTTGACTTTCCAAAGATGGCTTCTATTTCACTCTTTGCTCTCCACTCTAATGTCCTCTCCTCAAAGAAGCCCTTCCTGATTACATACTTTAAAGAAGGCTCCTTGTTTCTCTCTACCACAGTGGGTCCCAACCTATCTGCCTTGGAATCACCTGGGGGCTTCAAAAAATACTGATACCTGTGTCTCACCCATAGTGACTATGATTTAATTTGTCTTGGGTGCAACCTGGGCTTTGGAATTAAAAAAAAATAAAAAGATCTTCAGGCAATAATATGTAGACAAGTGTAGGAACCACTCCTCTAGCATATCACCCTGCTTTAATTTTCTCTATAAGGCCAGTAAAGAAATAGAGGCTTGGTTATTCCAAGAAGCAGGCCCAAGCAACCAGCCCCAAGTATA